GTTTTAGAGGGAGAGAGTATCATGCATTGAGATTTTGTGGTGGGCTATTTGGGTAGGGAGAGATTATAGGAGGCAGAGACAGAGAGATGCAGAGTTTTTATTGTTGTTTACGCGTTTGATAGACTTACCAAAAAAAGTTTTTACTCGGGTGATTTCAACTTGATCGACGTCTTTCTTTATATTGCATTTTAACGGTCTGATGTTTGATTTGTTTCCATGTAAACTATGATTGTCCTTGATTTGTTGAATAAGAGCACCCTGCTTTGGGTTTTTTTAGAAAAAAATCACATACCATGTATGAAATAGACATGATCTATAAAAAAAAGTTTCTCAATGCAATTAAAAGTGGACCTAGTAGTAATAAAAAAAAGATACAGTCCACACTTTGGTCTATTTTAAACCCAAGTACAAACCCAAGCACTCATCATTTATTCCTCATTTAATTTTTCTTTTAATAAATGAAATATATTAGAACATTTCTATTGGTTGGCATGTATGGTAGACCTAGTATTTTATTTTTGCATTGAATAGCTTTTGAGTTTTTTTACTTGGGTTTATCCCTGTCATTTAGGACTTAAGTCTATTTATATGCCACATATGTAAAATTAGACCCAAAGCATTCTTGATGCTCTAACCAGTTGAATTAATCATATTTATTGTATAATCAACTCTCGAGTATACGTCGCTCAAATTAATGTTTGACCTTCGCTTGATAACTAGTGAGTCGGTTTATATGTTGAATATAGAAAGTTGACTCCACTATGGAGTCAACTGTTGGCTTCATAATAAAATCTCCTAGCAAGTAGTGCACATCCCATGATACCAATAAGGTTTTGAAAACTACACCCGTCATCGAACTGATCAAGTTAATGGTTTAATGGTTCATCGACTCGATCAATGATTAAACTTATTAATTTATGTATATATATAATATTTTATATAATAAAAGTTATATATATATATATTTATATATATAATTTTGTTAATTAAATAATAAATCAATTTCAGACATTCAAATACATAAACTAACTAATAATAACTTATATTTATCCATTATATATATTTTTTTATCCAATATATTTTATCCATTATATTTAAATATGTACTTTTTATTTATATTCAACAATATTTTTAAACTAGTACATCGTTCGTGTATTACATGGGTGTTTGCTAAATTTTTTTTCTTAAAATTTAAAATTAATGATAAAAAATAGTTGAGAATTTAAATACTTTTTATAAAAAATTTATATTATTTATATTATTAATATGACACTTGTTACTTGTGCGACTTGCGTGTGTTATATTATAATAATTTTTCTAACTTATAACATTTACATTAAACATAAATATATTAATTGAGAAATAATTTTATTTTTCTCATTAATTTTAATAATTATTTTTTTATTATTATGAATATAAATTTATTTATTTATTTTATATATCCTCCCTATATATAATTCCCGAATGTGCTGAGCTTAAGTGACAGACTTGCATGCTCCAGGATCCTATGTGTCAAAATTTCATACTAATTATTTGGGTTGGATAGATTTTAATTTAATTCCAATCCAAAAATAATTAGGTTCGGAATACCATAATAGAACCCCGAAACATGCAAGTCTGCCACATAGACTCATCACATTCGAGAATTATATATAGAAAGGATATGGTGAAATTTCATTAGAAATTAAAGAAACTAGACTGTAACGCCCCGCTCGATTTATAGAATTTCTCGGAATATTCTACTTATCGAATATTATTTATAAGGTTATATTTATTTTATTAGTCGCGACGTCGACTTAAATAATAAATCGGTGTATTCATTTGTTTTATTTGAAAACGTTTGACGTTCGGCGATTTTGATTTAATCGTGTGAACCGAATATAATCCGTATGAATAATTAATTTTTTTGGATATTCTGGCATTATTATTTATTTTGTTTTATTAAATTGTCATAGTGAAATAATTGCTCGATTATAGATTTATTGTTGGGTGCTAACAAATATATTAAATGTCGGTTTTGTAAATTTTAAAATTTATGGGTCATCATATTTTATTCCGAGCATTTTGTATATTCGGATTTTATAAGATTGAGCCCGATAAACCGGTAGTCGAAACCGGCCAATTCGTAAACCCGTTGTGTATGAATTAAATGATTATTATTATTATTATTATTATTATTATTATTATTATTATTATTATTATTATTATTATTATTATTATTGAATGTCTAATTGAAAT